TACCTAGTAGTGTGAAAGTTATCTGATGTTCTTGATGGCACATTTTCTCTCTTTCTTTATTTCCTTTTAATGGTCTCACTCTTGATGCTCTGACGCAGCATGCAGCCCTCTCTGAGTACCGTCCCATCTTGGCCAACAGGCCTGCCGCCCACTCCTTCTCCTCCATGGCTGATGTGAAGCTCACGCTCATCCCCATCATCTTCATCGTCCTACGCATTTGGAGCACGGTGCGCTTTATCCTGCTGCTAGCCGACTCAAATGTCAGACAGAACCCAGCGCTGGTCACGCTGCACGTGAGTTTAAGCTTCTTTTTGCCTTTTTAAAAAGTAACAAAGCGTTTTCAAAATACTGTAAATTTTCCTTTTATATGGCTTGAAAATGTAATGAAGCCTTTATGATGTTTGGACTGTTTTATTACATGATTGTGCCGCTGTAAGTGTGCATAAAACATTTTTACGCACTGTGAACACGATAATATAAATGAAAATGTGTTGTTTTATTGACCGATAAAACAAGCACGGTAAAATAAAACCATTTTGAATCGACATTTGCCATCAAAACTCATAAAGACTTTTTATTCCTCTGGAATACGCCGTCATGATGCCCCCATCTGAAACCCCTCTTTCGTCTGATCCCACAGGGGATTGGCAACACCTTGCAGGGAGCAGCCAACTGCGTCATGTTCGTCTTGTTCACTCAGCCGATCCGCACACGCCTCTGCGCCGCGCTCAGCTCCTGCTCCCATTGTCGAGCAGAGGCGCGGCGCCCGCACAGGCTGCTACCGGAGCAGGACGCAACTGCCCGGAGAGAAGAAGACAGCACTGAACGAGGCCACGCCGACAGATGAGACTTTGTTTGGTGCAATGAGAAGATGAAGGCAAAGCAAAGAGGCTGACATGAAGGGAGGAGGAGTTCTCTACTTCACCTCGAGCCCTCATTACACAAAGTGCTCGTGCGACGGCTTCTGGAGATTCTGCAGGAGCATGCACTTCTGCGTCACGTGTCTGCACTGTGGGTGATGGGGTGTTGCTGCCTGATTTTATATTATTTACACATAAGGTGAAGCATTATTTGCATTTATTGTTCTGTAGGTCACATGGGTAAAGTGTTTTGTTTTTGTTTTTCTTTGGGTTGGTGTGTGTTGATGATTTCACTTCCCTCCTTCCAAAGAAAGTGAAGGAGCTCTGCTTACCATGTACTGTACTCAGGTTAACACTGTGAAGGATTTTTGTTGTTGTTTGTTTTTCTAGTATCCGAGTTTTGTGAATTTGGGGAGAAACCTTTGTTGGCCCGGTTATGTTACAAACAACAGAGAAACAGGGAAAGCTTTGTCGCTTTAGGTCACAATTATACTGTAATTTTTTGTGTTTTTCTTTTTTGTATCATCAACAAATGTGTCCAGAAGCTCTAAATACACTACTCCTGAAGCAAAGACAGGAGCAATGCATTTACTCACATCTAAAGAGCTGTGCATTATTCTAACTGTTAGCTTGACTTCTCTTTCACTGGAGATACTATATTGTTACATTTTTGGGTAGATTATCATCATTTTCTATTTAAAGGAATAAATACATGATCGGCTTTGCTCTAACTGCTGTTCTCCTTTTATTAAAACTCGTTTACTTATTTCCCAAGGCATTGGTTTCAACATCTTTCAGACACCAGTTTCATAAGATTAGCGGCGTCTGTTGTGTCACCATAATTAGCATCATTACTATCACCGTGGTCAAATTTGTGTTGTTTTTTTGCATGATCTATAATCACATGTCATCCTTCCTCTTTCAAACTCAGGCTTCACTCATGAGCCTCACTTCTCCTTTGAGCTGGTGGCTCTTGTTCGCCTGACTAAAAATGAAGGCTGAGTGCATTACTAATGATGAGTGGGTGAACCCGGTGCGCTGATTCTACTTCCCAAAGTTTCGAAATATTGGTTTAAAATTCACAGCGTACTTGCTCCGGCTTTTTTATTTTCTTTGTGCTTTAATATGCACATGCAAAGGAGCGTGGGGATAGTTCCCACATGTTATTTCTAGTTGCACTTTTTATACGCTTTAAACTGTACAAATAAACAGTTTTCTTTGAGCTAAAAAGTTTTCCATCCATCCATTTTCTTATCAAAACAGCCTTGCGCTGTGGCTTGAGCCTATCCCAGCTGACAGTGGGTGCACACAGAGTACACCTCGGAAGGGTCGCCAGTACATCACAGGCCTAAATATATTTTCCTCCAATCAAATTTTTATCTGATGTCTAAAGAAACGGGACACAGTGCAGAGTTCATTCTCTAAGACCATCAATAACCAGATACCATGTCTGGGAAAATGCAGGTAGTGAATGTTGTTTGTGCCAATGACATCTAAAATAAACAACCAATAAATAGTTTTTGTCTTTTATCCTTGTGGATGGAAGAGGGCGTACAGAGGAGCAGCACTTACCGTATTTCCTGCGGGAAGTAATGTGTTGTGTCAGTTCAGGGATTTGGCTGACATTGAAGCGATTTGAGTCAGGAGGGGGCCGCTTAAGAAAGACTTTTCTGCTTTTTGCTCTGCTGGCTTTCTGCCTGCTTAAATTCATTAAGAGAGCCTGTGCTATAATACCAGGGGTGACCATTCACCAGTAAACTTAACTTGGAGGGGGGGTAACACAGGCAGTGTTATTGGTCCCGGGAGCCCATTGTCAAGCACGTTGTCCACCACAGGCAATAAATTAGCAGTGGCAGTTTAGTGTGTGAGCAAAAAGGCGGCTGCTGAGTTCCCAGTGAGCGTGCACTTTGTTCTGGCATTACTCGTCGCATTAGCGCCACCAACTGTTTACTGCTGGGACTACTAGCAATGCAAATTTTCTGCGTGGAGCTCCCATTTCATAAAACATAAGGGGAACAAAAATCTACCAAGAAGATGACATTCAAAGGTCTCTCATTAAACATGCCACACTTCTAACTTCCATGTTTAATATGAAACAGTCTCTTCTGCAACCTGTTTCGTCTCAGCAACTTTTAGACTGGGTTTTTATCATGTTTGTCTTTGGGATTAGAAAGGAACAGCACTGCAGTGTTAAAGGCCCGAAGCAAAAAAGGTAGACCTGCTACACATGGAAGTGTTGCTTGCTTCAAATACCGCTGGGGGTGGAGGTTGGATAATGTAGGCCACCTGCAAGAAAATGCGCAGAGGGGGATGGAGAAAAACAAAAAAAGACAAATAAAATACTGCAGGAGGGGAGCAGCAGCTGTTGTTTCCTGGGTCAGCAGGCCTACGAGGGGCTGTTGACTCCTGGTTTGCATCTGTGCTCTCTCCCCAATTGATTTCAAGCACCAGGGGCGTGGCTAAAAGAGAGGTGGTGGGGGGCGGCGAGGAGTGTCACCACCGTGCACACCCCTCTTACCTCTGGAAAATTTTGGTCCTATCAGTGCGGTGCAACCATGGATAGAAATTACATGGCGACACGATGGTCCTAACCTACTCCTTCTCCTGTGAAAACCAGAAAACTGTCTCCTCATTATCAATCAATCAATCAATCAATAACTATGCAGTAATACAGCTGAACGGTGTACTGATATTAATATGCACGAAAACCAAGGCTGCTAATGATTTATTTATTTGTTTAAAGAAGCCAAACAAGTCATTTTAATATATGACAAGTTTCCCCACCCCACACCTTATACCCCAACCACCCCCCAACCCATTTGCCTCACAATGGTTTGGTCCGTTGCCTACATGCTCACGTCCACGCAGTCATTTGGAAGTTTGTCGTGTGGGGGTTTTTCTACAAGTGTGTGACTGGTGGCTGAAGTCCAGTAAGTACTTTGCAATTATTTACTTAAAAACAATGTTTGGTCAGACTTGTATTTTATTTTATTTTTTGCACTTTACTCCTCAGAAGAATCAAACACAAATAACTGTTTTGTTGCATATTTTTAATTAGCTTTTTTTTTTTTTTAGCTTAATTTTAAAAAGCGGCTGCCATTTTTCTACCGGGGCAGCCGCATGTTTAGGAAAGAAGGAGCTGTAACTACAAAACCAAAAGCAGCTTTTTGAACACAAACACGAGGAGGATGCAGAATGCTCTGATGATACTTTGACAGTAATGCTATTTATTTATTTCTCTGTTTTTGTGATTGTGTTGCTTTTGTTGATCTCTTTGCACAGGGAAAACAAAGAAGCCATCAGAGTAAGAAAATAACCGTTTTAAAGTCCATCAGCTCTGTCACAATGTTTTTGGACTGATCTCACGTCAGCAGGTAAGTTTGAGCCACACTGACGTGAAAAAGTGTTATTTATTAATAGGACATCCCCGGATTGGTTACTTATATTGGTAAATGTTTTAATTGTATAACATGTAAGGTTGAATTATTAGCTGTATTTGTAACTGCTTGTAAAGTTGTCTGAACTGTATAACAATTGTGTAATTATCTATGAGTTTGTGCGGTTCTGCATTCTAGGGAAGCTAAATCTCAGTTAAGGTACTTGGTGTTTGTCCACATGTTGTGCCCCTGTTGTGTTTGTTCATTTCCAGTTCAGTGTAAATTTGTAATGTCTGAAAATCAGGTAAGAGAATATCAGACCAAAATATGGTTATGACTGTCTTTTATTGATTTATTTATTATTTTCTTTGGTCTTTTGGTGAAAGAGGCTTCAGTCTGCATCGTTTTACTCAATAATTTGTGTTATTTACATTTTTGGGGGGCATTTTTGATGGTTATTGTAATTTTTTGAAGTGGTTAGTTAAAATGTCCACAAAGAGTTTTATATTTGACCTGGGCTCTGTATGTTATACACAGAGGGGGGTTGTGTATGTTACAGGTGTTACTAAGCACTTTAGGTAGCATCTTCGGTATGTGCTGTAAGATAAGCCTAAGAATTTTTCTTGTTTATTTTATTTTTATTTATTTTT